ATTATTTTCAAATAAAAGAAATATTATTATTCTGAAACAGGAGTATATTATTACACAAAAGTGAGCAGATTTAAAAACCTAATCAGCATTTGATTTTAAAGTGGTAAAAACATCCATAAATTGCCACTTCCCATTAGGCAAAAAGGCCAGTAATGCAATGAAGGTGGGGTCTTCCTAGCAACTTGCAACAATAAGGAGAGATGTGGTTTCGTTCTCCATTGCAAAAACTACCTACAATTGCTCTCTGGTTATGATTACATGGATGCCTTGTGATTGAAACAATTAAGACTCAAATCAGCTAAAACACTAATGCTCTGTATTTTTGTCCAGGCAATTTGGACTGTTATGGTATTGAGACATATCTCAATAATCCATGCCACCCATGCCGCCCATTGCTGGAGCTTCCTTCTCATCCTTTGGGAGCTCAGATACAATAGCTTCGGTTGTTGTCATCAATGATGATACACTGCAAAACAAAGGCAGCATGTCCAGATGGTTACTTAAAGATACCAAGACACAAAGATATAAGAAAAAAGAGACAGAATTATAATCACTTTCCCAGCTTTACCTTGCAGCATCAACCAAGGCAGTTCTAATAACTTTCAATGGGTCGATGATACCAGCTTTAACCATGTCAACATATTCACCTGGTTATGAAAAAGAAGAGGTAGGATAAGCCTTTTAAGTGCATCCGTCTTAATTATAGGCACATAATACCTAAATGAACAGAAACACAAGATGTGTACTGACCTTTGGCAGCATCATATCCAAGATCAGGGTTATCTTGTTCCAACAACTTGCCAACCACAACAGCTCCCTCAACTCCTGCATTGGAAGCTATAGTGTACACAGGCGTCTGCAATGAAATAAGGTAGTTTACGTGGGTGAGCTACACTTCTGCACATTATGTCATTATCTGCAATGTTTGTATTTCTAAACTTTCTTTCAACATAACATATAAAAACCTTTCCAAAGTCGCAAGTACTGTCAAACTTGCAACACTAGCTTTCAACACACATTGATCCATTTGATCTGAATACAAGAGTTACACAAACCTTCAGAGCATTCTGAATAATTTGAACACCAATCTTCTGGTCAAAGTTGTCAGTAAGAAGCTTGTCCAACTCTTTTGATGCATACAAAAGAGCAACACCACCACCTACGTGGCAGAAATCCTTTTAAGCATGCTTTCAAATTCTAAATCTGAGTGACACAAGGGGGAAAAACAACTTGAAACACCTACCAGGCACAATACCCTCCTCCACAGCGGCCTTTGTGGCATTCAAGGCATCTGTGACTCTGTCCTTTTTCTCACTAACTTCAGCTTCACTAGCTCCTCCAATCTGTTTGTAAATTTCCAGAGTTTTCCATTCAACATATCAAGAGAAATAGCAAGATAGGAATATCAATAATTACTTAACGTGAACACAACTCTGCAGTTACTAAATAGCTAGGGTGGAAGGAGTTGAAGCATTTCATAGATGAGTCACTGGCAGGAAGTAAATAAATGCATTAACACCAAAGAGAGTAGGCAGACCTTCAAAACAGCAACACCACCAGACAGCTTTGCCAATCTTTCTTGCAACTTCTCCTTGTCATAGTCAGAGGTGCTCAATTCAATTGCTGACCTAATCTGTCATTGTTAAGCACCTAATCAAGTTATTACCTAGGATCGCAATCAAATTATGACAAATAACAGTCTGACGTCAAAACTAATAAGAAACAGAAAAATGCCCATGAGGCAGCAACATATACCTGTTCACATCTTTCCTCGATAGACTTCTTGTCACCAGCCCCATCAAGAATTACAGTATCATCTTTTGACACAGTAACCTAATATAAACAAACAGACCATGCAGGATGTAGTTACCAACTGCTCCAAATCTCAAAATTTACCCATTGACAGTATCAACAGATAATCACAAGTCAGTCAAAAATCTCAAATACAAAACAGAACAATTAGAAAGTTGAAAGCAACACTGGAAAGTACAAACTTAACAAACATATGGTACCTTTTTGCAAGATCCAAACACATCAAAATCCACCTTCTCAAGGTTCATGCCAAGTTCTTCAGTTATAACCTGTGGTAGAAAAAGCAGCAACAATTATTAAAAAGGTCTTGATTACAATGCCAAAAGAACTTAATTTAGACAAACAATATAATAAAAAAGACAGTATCATCACCTGTCCTCCTGTAAGGGCAGCAAGATCATGGAGACCAGCTTTCCTGTTCTCTCCAAAACCAGGAGCCTTGATGGTACAAACCTAAATCATGCAAATTGTAAAAACAAGTTATAGAGCATTTCAAATCAAAACCAAGAAAAGAATACTAATGACTGAATTGTGAATATCAAACCTTGATTCCTGCACGAAGCTTGTTTAGAATAAGAGTTGCCAATGCTTCACTCTCTACATCTTCAGCAACAATGAGTAAGGGCCTTTGTCTCTAAACAGATAAAAGAACAAACATGTTAGAATAACACAACTGGAGGGAAAGCAAAAAGGAAAAGAAACAATAAATAAATATTGCAGCAGAGAACTTCATGTGCTATCGGTAGAAAACAAGCCAGAGTCAGTTGGAACATTTAGAATAGCATGCATGTATATGTTGCAAGTAATTGTGTATGGAACATTTACCTTCAAGGCTAACTCCAATACTTTCACCACGGCATTCAAACTAGAGATTTTTTTCTCATGGATTAAGATGAGAGGATCATCTAGTTCCTGTCATCAAACGTAATTAATCAGCCATCTGAGTTTGATAATGTGTATGCTGAAGTGGCATGCCAAAAATGAGAATGTAAACACTCACGCATTTTTGGTTTTTCTGGTTGGTAATGAAATAAGGGGATATGTAGCCCCTATCCAGTTTCATGCCCTCAACAACTTCTAACTCATTAAACAATGTTTTCCCATCCTGCAGTAGTTACCATTCAAAGACCTCATATCATAAGACTCATAAAAACGTAGGAAACAACACAGGTTTGGTTGATAAGCAGAAGCAGTCAACACTAGAACAAAAGAAAACATGGGGAAAAACCAAAACAATAAGATAAATAAAAAAAACACCCAGCAACTTACCTGAATAGTTATGACTCCCTCTTTGCCAACCTTTTCCATTGCCTTTGCAATTAGTTCACCTATTTCCCTCTCACCGTTGGCTGATATGGTTCCAACCTATGACATTATACTTACGTTGAGATTTCAGGCAAAATTCACAGCTGATACAATTCTAGAGAAAAGTACCAGTTAAGTTCTGTTTCAACAAGCTTCCAATGGAAAAACCTCAAAACAGCAGACATACCTGAGCTATTTCCTCAGATGTGCTAATCATCCTAGTTCTGCTCTTCAAGTTTGTTACAACAGCATCAACTGCCATTGTGATCCCACGTCTTAGGTCCATGGCATTCATCCCTGCAGCAACTGACTTGCATCCCTCAGTAAATATTGCCCTTGTAAGGACTGTAGCACAAGTGGTACCTGCAAATACATAAAAATATTATTATGACTGCCCAGCTAGATATTGTTATTGAAATATAGGAGTAGGAATTCCTTTGGAAAAATAAATGATGCATAGCAGTAGTGACTGATGAAGTATAAAATCAAACCTCTGACTGGTAATGGAGTTTCATGAATAGATTAATAAGAAAACCATAGGCTTCTAGGGGATTATGTTCTTACCATCTCCTGCTACATCATTGGTGGCATTTGCAACCTGTTTCACAAGGCTAGCACCAACGTTCTTGACTCTATCCTTGAATTCAATGCTCTTTGCAACAGTTACACCATCTTTAGTAACTTTGGGGGCTCCAAAGCTTTGTTCAATAACCACATTTCGTCCCTTTCCACCAAAGAAGCACAAAGGATATACACATTAGTTAAAATTCCACTGTGGACTAGACAGGCATGACACCATTGCTTCCTCTAGTATAATTACCTAGGCTGAGGTTTTGGGTTTCATTACAATTTCTAGTTTTCAATAAAAACATTATCAAACAAGTTACTTTTAACTTCCTATACAGCTAGGACAGCGGATTCAACCAGTTCATTACACCTAATTATAAGCATTAAACAATGTTATTCATTTATAAAACAATAAGCCCACAAGTGTAACAAGTGATTTTTGCATCAATTACAAATTTCACATCTACTCTAAGAAAAGCTATTAAATTTTGACGAGAAAAGGCCTAAACTTTTCCAAAGGTGACTGATCTTGGTTAGAGCAGACTTCATCCATTGCCACAGTAGCACACAAAAGCATCAAACAGAGTAAAATGGATTGAAAGACGGTACCTTAGGACCCATAGTGACTTTGACAGCATCAGCAAGCTCTTCAACGCCCCTAAGCATCAAGGCTCGAGCCTCAACTCCAAACTTAATGTCTTTGGCAGCATAGTTCCTGCTCCAACTCAATCTACTCCCAACCTGAAACTCCGAAAACGTACAAAAAACCACATCAGTACAAACAATTCTTCGCCTGATTAGATCAAAACATGATACATCATTGACATGTAATGCAACTTCAAAAACTACCTGACGGGTACTATTCCTAGCGATCCTGTCGAATAGGTAAAAGAGAGGGAGGAGAGAAGAATTAGTATCGCAACGAACAGCAAAGCAACATAACTACTTGTTTCAGAGAAAACAGAGAAGAAAAAACAGGATAGATCTCATGCTCCTAAAATGGGTTGGATCCAAACTTCGAATTATAAAACGAATATAACAAAATTCTCAGATACACAGAAAAGAAAAAGACTTTCGTCGTCTCCATTTAATAGAATTTCTCGGGAACCAAATGGAAACAGAGGGAATAAGCAATGTCCAGAAGACCCCAGATAAGGTACCTAGCTTTGGAAGCGAGGCTGGAGGCGAAACGATACATGTTGGCGGATGAGAGGAAGGGAAGCAGAGGCAGTGTTTCGGCGGAGAGAGACGGTAGGAAGCCGGCGTTGAGGGAGGGGGAGTGGGTTCAGAGATATAAGAAGAGACAAGAAGACTCTAGAAGCAGCAGCTTCTATTTTACTAGGGAAGGGTTTAGGGTTTTATCTTTTATGTCTTCCCATTTTAAGTAACGGCGGCCAAAAGATATTGGATCAGTGCTTGAAGGGTGGGCATGGGTATATTACTAGACCGAACTGGACCGGTTTATTAATGTACCGATTTTATTCGGTACTCAAGGGTGATACCAAGTATCGGATTGGAAAAGTTAATCTGGTACAAGATTCAGGAATTTGTATTGGATACTTCCAAAGAGAAAATTGATTGGTACCGATTAATTTTGATTTTAGTATACTGTATAGAACTAAACCAAAGCACGCACCAATTATTTAGTATTGTTAACTTTTGTAGTTTTACAAAAAAAAAAAAAATAATATGTAATTATTGGTTTAATATCAACGAACTAATAATTTACTTTGAAATTATGCTTTGAAATTAAAAACACGAGGAAAACACATGTAGTTTTGATACTTAAGAAAATAATTTTTCACATGTAATGTCTACGTCTTTAAAAATGCTTTGACAGTAAGTCTTTCAAGAAAATAATTTTAGAAATCGGAGGGGATTGAAGATTTGAAGGGCAAAGGGGGAAGAGTTGAAATCCAAGGAAAAAAGAAAAAGAAGAATTATAGTGAAAGGGGAGGCTTACCAATGGAACAATTTCAAAATTTGGAGGAGGGGTTTGTGACTAAAGACTTCCTGTGTCAATCTTCATTTACGTCGATTGGGTAGAGTAGGAGTCTAAGCTTTTATTCGGATTGGTTGATTTGGAGGGGGAATGAAGGAGAGTGAGAGATAAATATCTCTCTTACTTTCTTTGGTTTTCTTCGTTAATGGAAAGAGAGCGAGACGGAGAGGTAATAAAATCTCACCCACTCATCTATTTTTCATCCCTTTAAATTAAAGGGATTGAGAGAGATTTGATTTATATATTTAATATTTTTTAATTTTTTTTAAAAATAAATATATAAAATTATTTTATTTCACTTATTATTTTAATTAATAAATTTTAAATATCTTATTTTATTTTATTTTTAAATTATTTAATTAAATAAATTTATTTTTTTTTCTTTTATTCTTATCTATTCAAATAAGGTTAATATCGATTTTTTTTCTCATCTTCACTTGTCGTCCCGTTTCAACTCCTCTTTTTCTTTTTCTTTCTTTTACTAATTTTTATCTAAACAAACTCTAAAACTCTAAGAGATGAGAGGAGAGAGAGGCAGTCAAGCAAAATTAGAAAAAGTAGAAGAATTAGAATTAGGGATTTAGGTTTCTTTATTATCATATATCTTTTTTTTATTTTGAATTAATAAAATAATTTTTAATTTATTAATAAATATATATTTAAATAAAATTATACAATATTTAATACAAATATTTGGTATTTGGTATTTGATATTTGTATTTGATATTTTTAAGAAACAAACTAAATACCAACCGAATACATTAAATAATATAATCTTTATACCGCATTTTCATTTTTGTCGGTGCATTTCCATTACCGATTCCTAAATAGTCGGTATTTCCCAATGGGACTGGTCGGGAATACCGACTTTTGCCCACCTCCGGTCACTGCTGCTCCTCGACCCGAACCGAACCATTTCCATGTGGGTGGGTCTGCTATTTCCTCTCTACTTATTATTATTATTATTATTATTATTTAATGTATTTTTTTATAAATAAAATAAAAGTGACTTTGTTACATCGGAAAATTATTTTAAAAGTTGTTTCCTCAGCCTCTTGATCAGGTCAGGGAGGGTTGCCTTTTTATGGTAAAAGATGAGGAATGGTTGTTATTACCACTATAAAAATTTTGGTTTTGTAATTTAGGTAAAATAAAATGTAAAATACTTTTTTTAATAAAAAAGTTCGTTTAGATCTTCACAATTATACTTTTTTTTCCGTAAATAAAATTAGAGGTATGTAATTTAAAATATTAAATTTATTAATAAATAAGTGTCTTCTTATAAATAAGTTTTAAAATTTAAATTTATAATCAACACTTAAAAAATATTTTTTTTAATGCATTATGCCAATATGAGGTGCGATAATCCAAAAGAAATTAATAGCAAAATACACAAAAACTACTCTGGTGACACTACACCATAAATGGCCCAAAAAAAAAAAAAAAAAAAAAGGGCATGTCTCATACACCTTATTAATTAGATACAAAATGCAAGAGTAACCACGTTAAGGGCAGAATGGTATTGGTACAGCGTGGAGAGGGACTTTCTTATGAAGAGTAGGCCCCAAAGTTTAATTCATGTCTAACGACTCTTCAACCGTTCCAACCGGCAATTTCCAATCAAACCAACACAAAACGTTGGCAATCAAGTATTCAACTAAAGCAATCCCAAATAAGATCCCAGGGCAAACTCTTCCACTCCCAAATGGAAGGAATTGGTGATCACCACCTCTATAATCAATTGGGTTATTCTCAAATCTTTCTGGGTAGAACTCCCCTGGCCTTTCCCATGATTTGGGATCCCTTTGTATTGTCCAAATGTTGATAAAAACTTTGGTTTTGGGAGGAATGTCGTAACCTCCAACTTTAACACTTGCAGATGCTTCTCTAGGCGCTAAGAAAGGAAAAGGTGGATGCAATCTCAGAGTTTCTTTGATGACACATTTCAAGTATTTCATCTTGTTGCTGTCACTGGCATCTATCTTCGTCTTGTTCCCTGTCACTTCTCGTACCTCTAATTGCATCTTTCTCATGATGTTTGGATTCTTCAACAATTCAGCCATTACCCATTCTGTAGTTAATCTGTGCCTGCTATAAGCAATTCCCCTGTATGAATTACAAAAGCTTCAAGGATAGGGAAACATAAATATAAACAAGAGGAAGGAGGAAGAGGAAAGAAGGGAGACCAATAAGATTGTTTTGAGGCTGTCTTGAGTGAGCTCCATACCAAGCTGGTTATCCTCTTGAAGTTGAAGGACAGCATGCAAAAAGTCGTTCTCGTCATTGTTCTTGCTCTTCAATGAATCGATCAAGAAATGAATCCACTGTTTTAGATACTGCCTAACCCCTACTTAGCCCCCACCTAATTTATAAATTTTAATGTAATTGGCCTACCATAAAGATTTAAGATTATTAATTCCTCTGTAATACAGGAAAAATTTTATTATTATTTAATGGATTAAAAGCATATTTCTCATGTGGGTACTACTAGTTAGATATAATATCCATCTCACTAATACAGCAGTATTCTTTCTTATACTAAATGTGTCACACTAGTAATTAATAGAAAATTCTAACACAAGATAACATGAGCCCCACCCTCCCGTTACTACTGTGACACATGAAGATGCTAATATGACATTTCATGATATTTAGCTAAAACTCATGGAACTTAATATTCAACCAAGCTATTATTCATTTTATTTAATCAGTTTACCATCACTAATCCATGTGTTAGGTTCTTCGTTGCGGGAGATCCTAAAACATGCCCACGTATGGATGTGCATACAAGCAGGGGTCACTATTCCCCTGAAACTAATATGGGCGAATTTTTCCAAATATTGTTAAAAATTATTAAATTTTTGCTCAAATGCTAATTTAGTTCTCAAATTTTTAATTTTGAATAATTTTAATCTTTCAACTAATTTTCATATTTTTTTGTTCTCAATTATAAAAATATTTCTTTTATCATTTCATCAATTTTGTCAATTAAATTTGTCTAACATTTTTAAAATTTTCTTTAATAACCTGAATGTGTATAAAAAAAGTTGAAGAACTAAAACTTGCAACAAATATTAGTTTAGAGATAAAAAAAAAATATACATAAAATAAAGGCTTAGGAATAGGAACCAAAAAATTTCAACTGTACAAGTTTAACAGACAAAACCAACAAAAGAATAAAAAATATATCTTTCACAGTTGAAAGACAAAAAAAAATGTAAAAAATAATTTAAGGATTAAAGTTATTCAAAAATAAAAGTTGAGGAATTAAATTTGATATTTAACCTAAAATTTTAGGTGAGGACCACTACCTTAAAATCTATAAATTAGAGGCTTAGGTCCAAGCATCTCTTTGTGGCAGTCCATCTTTGAATGTTTGTCTCAGCTTGGACTGGTAAATTATAAAACTGTTTTTTTTTTTCTTCCCTATTATCTCGTGTGTTTGTCTCAGCTTGCTTAACAGCTGGTCAAAATTGCCGAGCAAAAAATATTAAAAAATACAACTTGTAGATATGATGAGGAATTCAACTACAAGAGTTCCCATTGTTCCTTTGAATTCTAAGACTTTTCAAGGACTCATGATTTCTCTCTCTTTCAGTTTACATGTTCCTCCTTCATAGGCAGGCATGGCCTGAAGAATTTTGTTGGCTTTTTCTTTTTCTGAAGGCACAAAACATGTTACTTAACTAAGGTGAAGAAAAAAAAAAGCACAAACATGCGAGTTAGATAAGCAGTTTAGCCAAACTTGACTATGCAGTTTCCAAGAGTGTGCCGTGGGTGGCATCAAAGTTGGTTCCTTTTCTTGCCTGCGCAACTCTGTTAGCATAAAGAGTCACCAACCGCAACTGTGTGCTATTAAGGTCTTCCAAGTATGGCAGGAATGCTTTCCCAAGTTTGACATAGATGTCTACCAGGCAAAAAACAACAGTCTGCAGCCACATAAGTAGAACCAGCAGAAATTAAGAAATGACTAAGTTGCGCAAAAGAATCTTGTACGGAAATGCACGTTCTTGGGTTAATAGCAACATTTCTAATGCTCCCTCAGCGCCGAAAATGTTTTTAAAATTTTATAAAAAGATTTATGTAATTGAATTTTATTTATTTTGATAAATTAGCAACCCAGGTCTAAGATAGACATTAATCAAAGTGTTCAGGTGAACTGTCTTTGACCCTCTCTATTACAGACTTGTGCTATAATTTTAATACCATGCTTCAAATTTGTAATCTAAATACGAAAGCAATAATATAATTAAGCAGAGATTCACATGCTCAAAAATAAAAATAAAAATAAATATAGAACAAGTTGTTCAATCTCTAAAGCAACCACAAAAATAGTGAAATCTTGCCTTGCGAACATGAGCACTCTGATTGCCAAATGCATCAAAAAGCAGGGGTAAAAATGAAGGCAACTGATCCAGTAGTTCCACTTGAGAAAGTCGACCCACGAGCTAGAAGACAGATTTAAGAAATAAAATTGTAAATGGAACATAATGATAGATCAGATGAATCTGCTTCACAAAGAAGGAATTCCCCTACTAATATAATCACCAAATAGGATATGTGTAATTGTGCAGTGAAAAACAAAAACAAGAAAGAGAAGATATCTAATTCCAAGAAATTTCACTGATTGCAAAATAAAAGCTGGTTTGTATGTAGGTGGTGATGCATAGCCCCCTTTAGAGAACTTTAGCAATTGATATTCTAACATAGGGCATATGTCAAGACTTGAGATAAGGACATCCTATTGAATCAGATAAGGAATACCTTTGTTAATGAGTGGATGCAAGTAAGAAGGGCACTCTCATCGTCTGTGATTAACATGGCTACAATAGCCTGTAAGTCGGAAAATGAGAAATGAACTAATTATGTCAAAGATATTCAATCTGAAAGCAAGAATACTCATAACATTTAGCTAACGTACATTGAGACAACTGAATGGATCATATTCAGTTAAAACAATAGATAAGCATTTCTCTGCTTCGTTTGAGACCTGAAATGCAGAATCCAATTATATTAGGTTTAAGGGTGAGTACAAGAAGAGATCATTTAGTTGTTAAACAAAACAAAAAAATGACTGCACCTCAGAAATTTTGTCATTTGTAACATGCAACAACTTTTCTATAACAACTTCAATAGAATCTTCCATCAGATTTTTCTGGATACACAAACCATGGTTTAGAATGTGCATTGTAAGATGGTAACAATGTAGTAGAAAAGGAAAAGACAAAAAAAATAAAATAAAATAAAATGGAGAGCAATCAAAACATCTTGAATACTTGCAAAGGTGATAGGTAAACTATCAGGAAAATTCCACAGACCTGATTGTCCACCATTTGAGCTAACAACTGCAAAGTGGCCTCCCTGATTGAAGAATCAGAATCATCCAGAGCCTCAAGCACAACTTTCAGAATCTGATTGAAATACTGCAGACAACAAATTCCCCCATAATCTGGATAGTGCTATTATAATATTCAATGTCTTTGACAGTTCTCTTACCAGTTAGCATTTTAGCAATAATGTGCAGTATTTTACTTGAACAATCATGTTAATTTAACTGAAGTTCCAGTTCTGGAAGGTACTATCCACAAAAGTGAGAGCAGAACTTATGCAGTTATGCTAGTTCTAAAAATTTGCAGAATAAGAAAGAAAATAGGGATAACAGGGGCTGTGGCAGGCTCCTATTACACTTTGCTCCCCCACTCAGAAAAGTACAATGCCCTCATACTTTATCATTTATGTTAATGACTCTCTTAATGTTGCATGATTCACCCTGCAATTCTTGCTGAATGATTTAGAAAATCTTCCTCCAACTGATAACTTTAAATAACAGAGGCACTGGAGAGGAGTGCTTGCATTAAACTACATACCCCTTTCCCTAAATTCCCTTTTGAAAATGAGAGATCATGAATAAACATCATACCTTGTTCCAAACTGAATTATTACTGGTAATGGAAGCTTCTATCAGCTGCTGAAGTGCTTGCTTTCTAAGATTTGAACTCTCATTCCCATTAGAAATCTACAAAGATTCAAGCATAGGTAACAACAATTTATATATCAGTTTCTAAATTTTCCTTGACATGTTATCAATAAAGAAAAAACAGAAAATCACCTTGAGAAAGTCATGAATAGAGAGGGACCAGAAAATAATTCAGACAAAATGACATTCATAACTCACCTGGTAAATTATTTGAGGAATAATGATTCGAGGATTCATAGAGAAGCCAAATTTAGCATTTATAGAGTTTTCATGACCACAATTGGTAGCAACTGCTTCAGCGCCAGCATTAGAACCACCAGCACTGAGATCATGAGAACTGCTCATTAACTTGTTATCCAAACTAGAAGGGTTGTCCATTTTTCCTTGTTCAATATCACCAGGGCTTCTCATACAGGATTCCACATTTTCATCAGCAGTAGTAAAATTACAAGTCAAATCTTTGGAATTAAGAATATTTTTACAGTTATATTCAACATTCTGATTCAAATGTTCCTGAGCCTCATTAGTAACTGTTTGATGATTCAATCCAACACTTCCACAATCAATATCCATACAACCAGGATAATACCTTCCGAAATTGATATTTTTCCGGTGTGTTCCCTGACATCCACCCTCAGTAGAGATTCCAAGATCAAATTGGTCAGAAATATTTCTAGGACGTTGCCTTTCTCTCTTATTCTGCAGAAAGTTCATGAAATCCATTTCAATTCGAGGGCTTCGCTGTCTAAGAGCTCGCCTTAAAGAATTTTGCTCTTGAACAGACAAGCAAAGAATATAGTTCAATACAGCACTAGAGTCATAGTTAGTGTGTATGAATATGATGCAAGAAATGGCTGCTTCCTTCAGTTTTGTGTTCTTCTCATAGACCAGAGGTATTAGTTTAGCGAGCCACCGCTTTAGAATGCCAAAGTTACCAGCACCTTCAGAACACGTAGCATTGTTCTTTAAGGAATTAATAGCATATTCAATCACAGCCAGTTTCACCTTTGGTGACCTCTGTTCATCCAATGCACGGAGCAAAGCAGGTAAAAGAGAATCTATGCTATAGGCCTTGCTCACAACTTCCAAAATTGTCGAAGAAAGCTGCCGAACCAACTCCTTGGGATCAATTAATCTTGAAAAGATATGGTGTAAGATTCGATCCAAGTAACTTTCAAAAGGTTTTCTACAAGCTGGAATTATCTCTAAAAGGGCTGAGAGAGCTGCCTGTGCAACTTTATGGTGGGGATCATCCAAGTGTTGGAAAAACAGCTTCATGACTTTCTCAAAATTCTGCACAATTTCTTGACTTCCTTTTGGGTCATCCTGTAGCACACTTTTGACATAGTCAAATGCAGCAACTCTAACATACCACTCACAATTAGGACTGAGACCCTCAGTTAGGGCATCATGAAGTGATGCTGGACCATCCACATTGTTTGACATTTCACCAAGTAATATTTGAGTATCATCAAAAAAGCTTCTATTGTTTGTGGAGACTTGACTAGAAATTTGCTTTCTTAGAAGTGGCCTTTGGAAGTGAGGAATGTTATTGCCCTGGCCATCCCTAAAATTTGCATCCTTAGAAGGTGCGTTCATATGCTGTCTGTCAGTATGCATACTTAAAGACCTCCTAGCAACCCTTTCATCAGAGTGCTCTTCCATGAAACCCCCTTCCAATCCCTCAGAAGCTCGCTTCCCTGTATACAATGAAAGAAATGCTAAAAAGGGTCTTCAATAATTCAAATGATGAGATGGATTTATCAAAATCTGTTGTAGTTTGAAAGAGTGAGTAGTGTTGAGAACAAAAAACAGCAATAGGTTCCTACAAGTACAAACATTTGATGCAGTTGCTTCTGTAAAAATAGAATTTGTACCTACAGCTGATGCAGCAAAGGCACGGGAATGAGAAAGATCACGAGCTGATGGAGGATCAAGTCCTGCAGGAGGGACCAAAAAGAGAATTTTTATCTATTCAGAAGCAAATAATAAACAAGCAGACCTAAATAAATGTTACCATAAGAAAACACTTGTTCCATAATTAAGCCAGACATATATCCCTAGTGTGTCTTTGAGTAGTACCTAAACCCAAGCTAGTTAGTCGCTGGTTTTGAAAATTATGTTTCTCATGAGATGTATCTAAACTACTGAGAGTTCGTTGAGTGGCTGTCACTTTCTGTCTACTTGGATGCTGCATGTTCTCAACACTTCTTTCAGTAACGTTTACATGTGACTTTACTTCTGATGAAAGCAAACCAGATGAGAGGGAACTGCCCAATGGTACAGCTCTGCTGGCAGGAGCTTCATCTCCTGGTAGATTTGTAAAAGAGGGAGCTAGAGAAGTCCTATGGGACACTTGAACACCCCTTTCTCTAAGTGAAGAAGAAGCTTGCCGTCTGTGGATCTTATCAGAGTAGACAGTGACTGGATCAATAGGTTTGTCTTTCAGGTCAACTCCTCCTGTATATCATATTGAAATAAACAAATTAATGAGTTCTTATGCTATCATCTTAAAGCAGTTATACACCACTCCAAACCATAAAATCAATGCTTCCCTTCTCCAATAAACTATTAAAAAGTCATAATACCCCTTAGAATTAAAACCATGGTATTTGAAATGGACCTTTTCTACAATTACACAATATGCTGCTTGCATACAACTAACTCATTTAAGCTAAATGCTTTCATACCTCCAGAAACTGGCATCTGACAAGCAGAATTACTTGTCTTGGGACCACTCTTCATCTCATTAATGTTGGCAGGTTTAATTTCACCTTGATAAGTACACCTAACAGTTGCATCTGAACCACAAACTTTTGGTTCTATCTTCTCCAGCCTAATATTGATATCTCCAACCTGCATTACAAGACTGCAATTTAGGAGAGAGAATATCATAAATGCCCATAGCAGCTAAATAGTGTTATTTTCAGTTATAGCAAATATTATGAAATTAAAATGATTACCAATCTTCCAGAATGAAATGATGTAGCCATAACACATTGGAAGAGGGAAACACCAATAGAGTACCAAACGCCCCTCAGTTAACAAATCAGTGAGAGTTGTTTTGTTGACTTAAATTTGAAAATGTATGTGAATGACTATCAAAATCCTTAAATGAATAAGTACTAAAATTAGTTCCACAAGCCACTATAAAAACACAGCCATGGCATAAACCAAATTACTCAAGCAGGAGCACAAACTTATCAATATCATCAAGCTCTAATGCTTTAATCATGAAACAAAGTGTATGACGAAAAAATATCTTGAAACAAAATGTAGAACACCAATATATGACTTTACCAATGATGAAGGAAGAGAGTGGTTCTGCAGTTCATCACGAAATTGAGATCCAAACTGCATATACATTTCCTGGAAAAGAAAGAAGATAATTAAAGTAAGTCATCATACCATACGTTTTAGCCCTACTGAGGGCTCAACTTATTCCCAATACCCAACAAAGAAGAAAGCATGGTGTATGCAGAGGCCAAAAAGAAAAATGCAATTTTGGTTTGAACTTTCTTACAAATAAACAAATGACTGTATTTCACCCAACACTCCTGTAAAATAAATAGAATCAGTCGTGTTGTGGGCCTTGTGGCTCATGCCTCCTTTTCTATTAAAACTCAATGCAAACTTAGATTAAGAATTAATTTAGGAAAAAGAA